CCGCACCTCACTCAGCCAGTGAGCGGGAACCGGTCCGTATGTGGGATCCGAACCCTTGGCGAGAGCGCCGCTGCGCTCTCAAGCGGCGCACTGTAGCAGTGCGCCACCGGGCCGGCCCTTCTTTCTCATTTTTATTGTTGTACATTTTCCCTCTATTTTCCATTGTTCTATTTCATTTGTCTTTCAAAAAACCAACTTTTGATTATACTTAACAATTTTACTTTTTTGTCTTCTAATTTATTAATTTCTAGTTATCTTTATTGGTTCTTTTTTCTTTCTTTTGGTTCATTTTGTCACTTTTTTATTGCTAGCTTATAAGATTAGTTTGATTATTTTATCTCTTTCTTGCATAATAATATACATCTATAAGTACTCATTTTATTCTGATTAGAATTTTAGCCATATCTCTTAGGTTTTAACATGATGTGTTTTCGTCTTTGTTAATCTCTCCATAATTTGCAATTCTTAATTTCTTCTTTGATCCAAGAATTATGTAGAAAAACGGGCTTTTTAAAATTTGGATTTAAACGATGAATAGCTATTTACAAATTAGTATCAGCCATCTATCAGCATGTTTTTCTAAAGTGCTTGAAAGATTGTCATTTTAAATAGAGTCCTGGCCCACTGGACCCTTTCAACTCAAGTGTGTTCTGAGCATCAGCAGTATTGACAGCAACCGTGAGCTCGTTAGCCACGCAGGCCCCACCCCAAATGTACTTAATCTGGACCTGCATATAGCAAGAACCCCAGACGATTTTTATGCACATTAAAATTTGATGCCCTTGTATTGGTTTGGTATGGCTTCCATAACAAAATGCCACAAACTGGGTGGCTTAACAGAAATTTATTGGTGGGTTGGTTCTTTCTGAGGGCTGCAAGTGAAGGACGTGTTCTGGACCTCCCACCTTGGCTTGTAGGTGCCGTCTTCTCTTTGTCTCTTCACATAGTCCTCTCTCTAGACCCATCTGTCTCTGTATCCAAATGTCCCCCTTTTATAAGGACACCAGTCATAATGGATTAGGGCACACCCTGATGCCCTCATCTTACTAATTATGTCTACAACAACCTTATTTCCAGATAAGGTCACGTTCTGAGGTACTGGCAATTAGGACTTTAACATATGAATTTTTGTAGGACACAATTCAACCCATAACAGTCTCACTTTATACTATGCTAGTGTTAGTCTATATGGTCAGGAAAGAATAGACTAGCTCACCCCGGACAACTAAACCTGGACCTTGTCCAATTTACTTTTACCCTTAAAAACAGCTTATTTCGAACATGGATGAGCCTAGATGGTGTTCTGTTAAGTGAAATAAGTCATGTACAGAAAGATAAATATCACGTGTTCTCACTCATATGTGGGAGCTGAAAAAGTTGAGTTTGTAGAAGTAGAGAGTAGAACTGTGGTTACTAGAGCTGGGAGTGGCAGGTGGGGCGAGGTTCATTAATGGATACAAACTTACAGCTAGATAAGAATACATTCTAGTGTTCTGTATTATTAGTATTAGGTGATTATAATTAACAATAACTTATTATATATTTTCAGATAGCTAGAAGAGAGGATTTTGAATGTTCCCAATACAAACATATGATAAATATTTGAGGTGATGGATATTCTAATTACCCTGATTTGATCATTAACACATTGTCTACGTGTACTGAATATCACTCTGTACCCCATAAATATGCACAATTATGACATGTCAATTAAAAAACAATAATAATTTTAAAAGACAGCTTATTTAGGGTCAGAAAAGTTTTGCTATATAGAAATAGTAAGGCAACATGTATCAATTAATTTTAGAGAATCCCACACACACCAAGTCCTCCTTGGGTTCATGTGACGTGGTTTCAGTCTTCTTCACCATCATACAACTGAAAGGACTCAGTTTATCTATAGTTTTCTTAAAGTGGTATACTCAGGACTGAGTATAGTATTAGAGACGGGATTTAAATAGCACCAGTTCACGCCGGACCCCCGCCTCTTTCATCTTGGTAGTATCCTTGCATTGATTCAGCCTAGTGTATCTCCTCTCCTCTGTCTCCTGCTTCCTCTCTCATGACTCGGTGATCTTACTGGAAGTTAAGCCCCCTGTGTGTTTCTGCAAAGCCATGTTTTCCCACTCAGTGTTTCAGACCCACGTGTAGGATGTCACACTCCACAGCTCCCCTCTGCTCAGTTCCTTCCTTGGTTCTGTCATCTCACATAGTCTCCATTCCTTCCAGCATGGTGCCAGCTTCTGCTCAGTAGGCATCTAGGTCTTCATCTAGCCTTGGAATAAAAATATTGAGCAGGACAAGGCCCTCTCCTCCCATGATGACCTCAACCCATGAATATCCTGAAGGTACTGTGCAGATATCTGTAGGATTTGCCTGTTCGGCATCTCCCTTTCTGGTGTTTTCCAGGAAGAACTCCCCTTTTCACAAGTTTGCAGTGGGAATCGTGATTTTATCTTTTGACCCCACTTTCTGGCCCCCGTTGATTAGAACAGAGGTGGACACCTGAGCCAAGCTGGGCCAATGAATCTTTTCCTGTACATTTTTGGACTTGGGAAAGAGAAAGTCATTGCTGTTTCTTCTTGGGTGCTGGACTATGTAAGATGTGCTGATGTCAACAATTTGTCCCACTATGTGGAGTTAAAGAGGTGGAAATAAGCCAGGTTGCAGAGAGAGAATAATTATCACTCAATGAGCCTTACAGAAAATACTTATTACCCGTCAGGCGCTGTCGCAAGCATTTTACACATCTTACCTCATTGAATCCTCACAGTCCTTTGGGGCAGGTTGATGTTGCTGTTATTGTTATCATCATTATTAATTCCTCCCAGATGTGAAGGGCAGAGATGCAGAGAGTGTCCAGACAGCCCTCAAGCCTCTATTGCCAATAGTTCTTCGAGGTTCCAGTTGCGTTCCTGTAACTAGGTCCTATGAGACATTTGGGTCACCTCACGATATACCTCCCTTTCTTTTGCTTAAGTGAGCTCCAGTAGGTTTCTGTGATGTAACAACCAAAATATTTCAAAATATAACCAAATAATATAGCAAGCCAAATAATTATTAACAGTTAATAACTAATGTTAGCAAAATTCAGCTTCTATTTTTCCCTCATGTGCCCCCAAAAATAAATAAAACATTTTTATTTATTTTATTATTTTATTTTTATTTTATTTATTTTTATTTATTTTATTATTTTATTCAAATACTTGGAAGAAAGCCCATTATACCTTATCCACTATATTTTTTTATTGCACCAGACTACACAAACACGAGAATAAAGCATAAGTTTTCTTTGAAGATAGTACAATAAAGTTAATGTGAACTTTTCCATGTGTATGGGTTTAATAATTCATTTTTATACCAGACACTAAAACGTGGATCTAATTTTTGTTTATATGATGTTTCAAATAGAATTCAGATTGTCAAAACAGAATCTCAGGAAAGAACAATTATTGCTGGCATTAGGAAGGTGGAAATGATTCAGAAAATATGAGAACAACCAAAGAAGTTGAAGAAATTTTTGTATCTTAATTTTTGTATTTTTAGGTCTACTGTCATCTTATTACCACAGTCATTGACTGAAGGAGTCAAGATGGAAAAGATAAAAATAAGGAGAGGTGTATGAATGAGACTCCAAAACATTCGAGGCTTTCAGACGAATCACTTTCTTCCTTCTGCTTATGCCTGCAGGTGTCTCCAAAAGCATTACTCAGTTTACCTACCAACCGCCAGTGTCGTCATTTGCTTCCACAATGAAGAATTTAATGCCTTGTTTCGGACAGTGTCCAGTGTTATAAATCTCACTCCATCCCATTTCCTTGAAGAAGTTATTTTGGTAGATGACATGAGCGAATTTGGTAAGACAGAACGTTAATTATCTAATCTACTTGGAAGGTGGTGCTCTCCCTGATGGCGCTGGAGTATTTCATCCAAAGAGTATTTGGGGATGGGTATTGAGGTAGGCCCCATGCTTGGGTCTGTGGGAACACTGGCAGATGTGTGAGACATGGTCCCTGTCCCTATGGTGCTTGGGCTAGTGGGGGGTTAGCACTTCCATGAGATAAACGTGGGGGCACCAAACTTATCTTTAGAGATCACTTCAGGAAGAAGTGACATCTAAACTGAGGTCGGAAGGGTGAGTTGGGGTTATCCCAGTGAGTTTAGAAGAATTCTGTATTTTATGTCGTTTATGCATGAGTGTAGAGTTGGGGGAGGGGTGGGGATAAAACCAGAGTTATTAAAAGGGAATTTCTCATGAAGGGCATTATTGAATTTTATCTCAAGAATATGGGGAGCTGTTAAGGGCTTAATGCAGGGAAATTACCTGATCCAGGTACTTTACATGAGAGAATTCTCATCGGACCAACTACAGTTAAGTGCTTATTTCCCCATGCTTACCGGTTTGAGAGAACTGCGATACTAACACAAAATCTGGTTGTCCACACTTAGAATTTGAAAGTAGTTGTCTGTTTTACAACTGAGTACAAAACTTAGACAAGCCAGGAGTACTGAAGCAATGATGTCAATGTTGGATAAGTTTCAGGCCTGAAAGTTGACCCAATGCGCTGTGAATCTGACCCACTACGAGCTGGGAAGGAAAAGAAGAGATAACAGGAGGAAGAAGAACAGGCGGGGGAAGAAAAGATGTCCCCAGAAGTTCACCCTGTGAGGAAGGGACTCTCGGTGACTCCTGAGAGTGACTCAAGCTATGCCAGCTAGGTTTTGGAATTTTAGATGCTGGCCGGACACCTATGGTACATAACCGCATTTCTGTGAGCATCACCACTACCTGAGAGTACAGGACTGTTTCTCTAGGCTTGTGTATGGGAGGGGTGTAAAGGGACGTCCCAGCCTCCCTGCTGCATGTCACCCACACTGCCTTGTCTGCTCCAAAGAGCTGAGCACCATGCACCTTGGCACCTTGCAGGGCAGGAAGTCAGGAGCAGAGCCACAAGCAAGAACAGGGTGAGACAACACGCCGGACCGTGGGGTCCTATCTCCTCCCCGGAAGCACAAGGATCCTACCATAGGGACGCAGTTCCAGAACAGGACCCCATCCCCGGCCATTCAGGACCACATCACGAGTTTAGAAACACATCTGGTGTCTTAGCTCAGCTGCTATAATAAAATACCACAAACTGGGTGGCTTAAACAACAAACATTTATTTCTTACAGTTCTGGTGGTTGGAAGTGTGAGATCAGGGTGCCAGCAAGGCCAGGTCCTTGGGGAGGGCACTCTTGCTTGTTTGCAGACTGCCATCTCTTTGCTGTGTCCTCACACAAGGGTGGGAAGAGAGCAAGCTAGCTCTCTGGCCTCTTCCTGTAAGGCTCCAATCTCGTTCATGAGGGCTCCATCCCCATGACCTAATTACCTCCCCAAGAAAGGCCCCACCTCCAAGTACCACCATATTGGGGATTAGATGTCAACATATGAATTTGGGGGGGATACAAATATGCAGTCCGTCACATCTGGTGGCCTGCTACAGTGATTCATGATGCATCATGGTCCTTTCATAAGAAACTAGAGGATCACTCCTGATGGCCAGGACATATATAGGTGAGCTGCCAGACCAGACACTTCCACTTCTTGATCCAGTATCATCCAGTTCGTGGCGATTTCACCTGCCCCACCAAGGAGCTTAGCCTTTGACCCATGCAGATCCTCAAACACAGGAGACAGGGTGTTCTGTGTTCTGATGCAGCTCAGGATCGACACATTCTTGCCTTTAATTCACAATGATTTCCTCATGGGTTGTAGGACAATTTTTTAAACTGAAGCCTGTCTTTCGTGGCTAATGCCCGTAGGCACTGCCAATGGGCTGCCTCAGCTTGTGGGAGCAGGGACCAGGGGCCCAGGGAACTGCCCCCATTGAGTTACACAAATGGCGTGTCCATGACCTGCTGCCATCCACTTTTTTCACAGTCCTGCTCCCCCTTGACTGTGAGCCAACACCGTGACCACCATCTGAAAGCCCAGGCCCTCCACTTCATGTCAGCGATCACTGCAGCCACAGCTGGCTTTATCTCCTCCAGGGCCTGGCTCAGAGCCCCCTTGTGTCCTGGATGCTGGGGAGGTGTTTGCAGATACATGAGCCGAGGTGCTGCCCCACCCTGCAAGTGCAGCTGTGCAGCCTGTATCCCTGCCTCGGAGCAGGGCCCTTCCTTTTAAAGACTAGGAAGGAGATCCCGCCTTCTGCCAACATAACCATGAACCTGCTCCAGTTGATACCCAACCTCCTGACCCAATTGCCTAGGAGTTAGGAATTTAGACCTCAGAGGCACCTGTATCTGTCCCACTTGGTCCCAGTCTCCTTTATCATCATCACCTTAATCTCCAAATATTGAGTGACTATGAGGTGTACCAGGCTCTGTGCTGGATGATACATTTCTTCCTCTCACTCGAGTACAGCCAGGAACGTGGTGCCCATCCCTTCTTACAGCTAAGGAATCAGACATGAGTGATTCAATCACTAGCGTAAGTGTTACTACAAAGTTAGAAACCCAGTTGATTGTAGTACAATTACCGCGGTTAGTAGCAAAATCAGATTGCACCAAAGCTCCGTAACTCACGCTTCTTCTATTAGAATTTCAATAATGACTTATTAAAATCAAAAATATTTACAGTTGATTTTGATGATGAATTATTTTTCTTTCTCTCCCTTAACACAGGATAAAATTTTCTTTTAAAGTTAGAACTTCTGTGGAATAGCATGGTTTTTAGGAACCAATCATAATGAGGATACATTTTTTTAATTTCTGTAGTTGCAGTTTATAAATTGTCAAGTGTTGGATATTTTTCCAGATGATTTGAAAGAAAAGCTAGAACATCACTTGGAAAAGTTCCGGGGAAAGATTAAATTAATAAGAAATGAAAAGAGAGAGGGGCTGATTCGAGCAAGGATGATCGGGGCATCTCGTGCTTCAGGTATGAGCATTCACGGGGGACAGGAGCCAGTGATCATGTCACAAGATCTTTCTTCCCAAGCAGAAATAAGCCTCCTGGAGACCCTCCCTGTGTCTGCTGCTTCATGAGAAGAGTGGACGTGTATTCCAGCCACAGGGGCCTTTCATCTCCTTTTGCCTCTGAAAGTATTCTGCTTCAAAATGTCAATTTGTTATTTCAAATGGAAGATCGTCTTTTGCAGGGGCCACAGTGTCAGGCCCCGTCACAGGCTGAGTTCCCCTGATACAAACTCTGACGTGGAGTTTTACGTGTAGGAGACCCGCTGGGAGCCACTCCTGTACAGAAGCAAAGAGAGCAAGGCTGGACGGGGTGGGGGAGTGGAGCTGCAGTGCCCACCCCGGGGACCTCTGAAGCCAGGACAGGGGCAGTTTGGGGCCCTGATGAAATGACAAGAGAAAGGGTTTAGTGGAGGAAATGCCTGTGAAGGAAAAGGGGAGAGGGAGAAGTGTGGGCTGCAGCTTCTGGCCTGACACACATGGAGGGACAGAGAGAGAGAGGAGGTTTGGATTGAAGAGCTCCTGACCATGGTGCAGCTCTCAGAAGGGCTCAGGGGGCTGGCGAGGACCCCTGTGCAGGTTGCCTGTGAAGGGGCCCTGCCCTGGGCCCGAATGCCCGTGTCTAGTACCTCCCTGCCACACACACACTCCCACATTCCCCTCCCCTGGGAGGCATCATCACCTCAGATATGGTAGCCACTGTCAGCCAAGGACAGTCCCCAGGGAGGAACTGAGCTGTGGGCCATCAGCAGTCCATGCTGCTGGGGGGCTGAGTCCTGAGGGGATCGGAGCAGCTCACTGGAGGGTCCCTGCTTGTACTACCAGCTTTCCTCCCAAAACTGAGTGATCAGAGGGACGTTTGCAGAATGGTAAACTAGAACCAAAGGAAATGGGTCATTTTAAGGGCATTTCACAGGGCCGTGTCAAGTAGGACTATCTGCAAGGATGGACAGGTCTCAGCAGAGGAGAATTGGAGATAGAACACAGGATCCTAAGGACTCAGGAGTGAGTCTGGACTGCCAGAATAGAATGCACTTGCCCACTTTATGGGAACTGCAGATAAGAGACCACCAGGAACAGAAAAAGGGGTCCTCATAATAGCCATGCACAGACACATTATAAGAGGAGAAGAGCTCTTAGAGAGCTCCAAGCTACCTTAGCACAGGTCCAGGCAAGAAAGAACCTTCCCGCCGCCTCCTCTCCTGTCCAGCACTCCCATCAGCACTGGACAGGAGTTCCAGTTCTCCAGAACCTTACCAACACTTGCCATTGTCTGTCTGTTTGATTATGGCCATCCTGTGAATGTGAAGTGATATGTCACTGTGATGCTGATTAACATTTCCCTGATGACTAATGCTGTTGAACACCTTTTCAAGTGCTTAATAGCCATTTGTATATCTTTAGAGAAATGTCTATTCAAATCCTTTGCTCATTTTTAATCAAGTTATTTGTCTTTTTATAATTGAGTTGTAAGAGTTCTTTGTATAAACCTGGACACAAATTCTTTATGAGACATATGATTTGCAAATATTTTCTCTCATTTTGTGGATTTTTTTTCACTTTCTTGATGGTGTCTGTTTAAGCACAACAGTACTTAGTTTTGATGAAGCCCAATTTTTTTTAGTGTCATATCTGAGAAATCATTGTCTAACCCAAGGTTATGAAATTTATGCTTATGTTTTCTTCTGAGTTTTATAGATTTAGGTCTCACATATAGTTCTATGATCCATTCGACTTTTAATTTTTGAGTAGGGTATGAGCCAGGCATCCCACTTCATTCTTTTGTATGTGGATATCTAGTTGTCTCAGCACCATTTATTGAAAAGGCCATTGTTTCTCCATTGAATTGTCTTGGTAACAATGTGAAAACTCAATTGACCATAGACATATGGTTTATTTCCAGACACTCAGTTCTATTCCTTTGGTCTATCTGTCTGTCCTTACCCCAGCATCACACTGTTTTGATTATTGTAGTTTTGTAGTAAGTCTTGAAATCAGGAAGTCCTTCAACTTTTTCTGTTTCAAGATTGTTTTGGCTTATCTGTGTTCCTTGCATTTCCGTATGAATTTTAGGATTAATATCTGCAAAATGGCCATCTGGGACTTTGATAGGAATTGTATTAAATCTGTAGATCAATTTGGGGATTATTGCCATTTTAACAATATTAAGTCTTCTGATCTAAACATGGGATGTTTTTCATATTTTCCTCATGATTGCATGTTGGCTGCAAGAAAACGTCTAAACTCTGCTAGCTGAATTCTGAGGTCCCTTCTAATTTGAGCCCATAGGATATACTTTGACAACGCACATTTTTTGCTTTCTGCATGCCAATTATTGACTTGTTCTCTAGGCAGAATAGACCTTCATTCAAGCTTGAATTCAAGAGCAAAAATAATTATACATCTTCGCATCCCAAGCACCAAAATGAATGCCTGAGAAGGTATCTTCTCAATAAAAATTTGCTAAATTTATTTGATTACTCAACTTGAATATAAAATGATTTTTTAAAAATTGAAGACTAGCTCAGTTCTATCTGCTTCTTTCGAATTTTCCCCAACCACTCCATAGCCCACAGCTCACTGGCTTCCTCTGAACCTCTGTGGCATGTGATATCCCACATTCTTGTACATAATAAAGTGTGTATTTTTTGTCTCCCCCACTAAAAAGCACCATAAGAGCCAAACATATAATAAATGATCAACAGTCATTTTATTGAACTCTGATTTGGGCTGTCATACGTTCTATCCATATGGACTAACATTAACCTGTTCTTGCCTCCCCAGGGGACGTCCTGGTGTTCCTGGATAGCCACTGTGAGGTGAACAGAGTCTGGCTGGAGCCCTTGCTGTATGCCATCAACAAAGACCCCAAAATAGTAGTGTGTCCTATGATAGATGTCATTAATGAGATCACCCTGGAATATATACCCTCTCCCATTGTAAGGGGAACTTTTGACTGGGACCTGCAATTTAAATGGGATAATGTTTTCTCTTATGAGATAAATAGACCCGAAGGACCTGCTAAACTGATCCGGTGAGATTTCTGGTTGTGGAGGAATAGCGTATGTGTCTTGGGACCTGGAAAATACAAAGCTTTCAGAGATTATCTCTTTGATTTCTTAGGCTTAATGAAGAGAAATGTTTTGTTATTTGTTTCTTTTTTTAGTACTATATTTATCATTATACAATGTAATCATTTTTGTGGCCCTTCACCAATTTCTCACAAACCCCCTGCTCTCCCCCTTTTCCACCTCTGACGGCCTCAGTTCTGTTCTCTCCTTGTGAAAGTTCAATCAATCATTGTGATTGTTGTATCTTTCTTTCTTTTTTTTATTTGTTTATTTTCTTAGCTCCCAATTGTGAGTGAGAGCATGAGGTATTTCTCTTTCTGTGTCTGGCTTATTTCACTTCACATAATTTTCTCCAAGTTCATCCGTGTTGCTGCAAATGGCAGAATTTCATTCTTTTTTATGGCAGAGTAGTATTCCATGGTGTCTATATACCACAGTTTCCTTATCCAGTTGTCCGTCAATGGACATTTATTTTTTTATTTTATTTTTTCCTTTTTGTCTTTTTTACTGACCGGTAATGGGATCGCAACCCTCGGTGTTGCGCCCGCACCACGCTCAGCCAGTAAGCGGGAACCGGTCTCCACATGGGATCCGAACCCTCGGCGGGAGCGCCCCCACACTCCCAAGCAGCACACTCTCTAGTGCGCCACCGGGCCGGCCCCGTCAATGGACATTTAAGTTGGTTCTCTTGGCTACTGTAAGTAGAGCTGCAGTAAACGTGGGAATGCAGGTATCTCTCCTCTTTTAAGAAATGTCTATTCAAGTCCTTTGCCCATTTTTTAATAGGGTTATTTGTTTTCTTGTTATTGAGTAGTTTGAGTTCCTTGTATATTTTGGATATTAGCCCCTCATTTGATGTATAATTTGCAAATATTTCCTCCCAGACTGTCGGTTGTCACTTCACTCTGTTGTTTTCTTTGCTGTGCAGCAGCTTTTTAGTTTGATGTAATTCTATTTGTCTATTTCACTTTTGTTACTTGTGCTTTTGAGGTCTTATCCAAAAAGTTCATCTCTTTGGCACATGTTCTTCCCTGGGCCTCCAGGACATGACAGTCTCTGGGTCGCCCTCCTATCTCAGCGGTTGCTCCTTCCCGCCTCCTCTGCCAGCTCCTCCTCTTCCCCCCACCGTCTGCATGCTCAAGTGCCCACGGCTCAGTGCCAGGTCCTCTCCTCGCCGCCACTCTCACACAGGGATTCTCATCTGTCCCATGTTGACAACTCCCGAATTTGTGTATCTTGTCCCAGCCTCTCTCAGAATTTCAGACTCACATATCCACCTGCATCCAACTGCCTATTTGGCATCTCCACTTGAATGCTGAATAGACATCTCAGATATGGCCAGAACTGAATCTTCCTTCTAAACACCTGCACCACCCACTGTATTTCCCATCTCACAGGACAGCAGCTCTATCTGCCAGGTGCTTAGGCCAAAAACGCTGGAGTCAGCCTTGAGTCTTCTCTTCCGCCCACATCCCACAGAAGCAAATCTCTTAGCTCCATCTTCAAAATATACCAGGAATTCAACCACATCTCACCACCTTTGTTGCTGTCCCCTTATCTGGGACCATTGTTTTTCTCTGGGACCACTGCAAAGCTCTCACTTGTCTCCCTGTGTCTATCCTCACCCCACCTGAGCTGGGTGGGGTTTTTCTCACCTGTTGCTTCACCAATTTATCCCTAACACATCGTAGGTGCTCAATAAACTCTTTTGTGAACAAATCAATGAATGAACAAATTTGTAATTATTTTTATACTACTTAATTTGGTATTATTGGGTCCTACTATTGGTAGACCAAAAAAAAAAAGATGCTTTGTGACATTATGATTTTTCCAGAAGTAAATATTACAATTTACTTAACGCCCTGAGAAAGGGAGAGCTCTAAACTCTGCTACCCAATTTAATCATCATCTTCATGGGAAACTCATAACCTAAGCATCATTTTCCTTCCCATCAAGACAACATTCAGAATATGTTTCTTACTTAATTTGGTGAGAGCTGAGTAAGAGTTATTGCTCACTTACAGGTAACTGTGGTTTTAATTTAGTAGTTTGTACATACTTAAACATATACTTAGGAAATTTTAGTATTAATATGGTTGTTTTCTAGTTTTCAACTCGTAAGTGATCACTAATATTTAATATAATTTTAAGGAAACCCATAATGACTCTCTGTGGAATCAGTTTAATATTTATGTCCACTTTCTAGGTCACCTGCAATGGCTGGAGGAATTTTTGCTATATATAGGCATTATTTTAATGAGATTGGACAGTACGACAAAGGCATGAATCTCTGGGGAGGAGAAAATTTGGAACTTTCACTAAGGGTAATTCAGACTATGTTTTTTTAAATGGTTACCTTTGTACATATAGAGTGAAATCTAATCTAATGCTTACTGAACAAGGTTCTGATCTATCACACCAAGTTTCTGGAATGAGTAACTAAGTGGATGGAGGACTTATTTACTCAAGTAAATACAACTGGTCTTAGGAGAAAATTGCTCCGTAATTTATCAGTTAGCTTTTGCTGTATAACAAACTATCCCAAAACATAGTGGCTTAAGACAATGAACAATTGTTATATCTCACAATTCATTATGTTGCTGAAGTACTTCTTCTGGTCTTAGCCAGATGGCTGGTTTCTACTGGTGTCACTTGTATGTCTGTGTTCACCTGGAGGCTCAGCTAGAGCTGGGTAGTCTTGGATGGCTTCACTTAGGTGTCTGGAAATTGGCTTGGTGATAGCTGGGGCAATGAGGTGACTTGGTCACTTGCCTCTCACGGTTAAGCAGGCTAGCCCAGGCTCATTCACACTGAAGAGGTCACAATGTTCCCAAGAGTAGCCGGAGAGGGCAAGTCTCACCAGCTGCAAACACTGTCTAAGCATCTGCCTTCATCATGTTTGTTTATGTCCCATTGACCAAAGCAAATTATGAGGCCAAGATCAGAGTCAAGAGATGGAGAAATAAACTCCACCTCCTGATGGGATGAGGTGCATAGTTACACTGCAAAGAAATGTGCATGTAGGGATGAAATGAGTATATGGCCGCTTTTGCGATCTGCCACACTGATACAACAGAGATACACTCTGATTTTACAGCACAGACTCTAAGCAGTTTACAAATACCAAGTTATCTAATGCTCATAATAATCCCAGGGGTGAGTACATTATTCTCATTTTGCAGATGAGGAGACTAAGGCACAAATATGTTGAGTAATTCCAGTAACTTGACCCAGATCACACAGCTCATATTGGATTTGAACCAAGGAGACTAGACCCAGATTCTGTGCTCTTAACCACCACATTATACTAATGCTCAATGGGAAAATACTACCAGTAAACATAATAACAGAAACTGGAAGCTGCACAGACTACTTCCAGCAGTGTATCTGCAGAAGAAAGCTGACCATCACCTACATGGACAAGGAACAGAGCAAGAGGCATGCTCAGATGGACCACGTCCCTTTTGAGAATAAATCTGAATCAAGAGTAAAAAAAAGCAACCATGTGGACCCTATGAAGAGTGGGATAAATTGCTATTGCTTTCCTCAGTTTGCTTTTTGATAAAAAATTTTTATGAAAATTTTACTTTTATTCCCCCTTTATGTCTTTTATGAGCTGACTTTTGTTTACCATCTGTGCTCATAGCCAGATTTTTTTTTAAATTAAGAAACATTTCAAACATATAGGAATGTACCAAAAGTAATAAACACTTTTTAGTACCCACTGTAGTTATTACCCACCCTGTTAAATGGATATTAATTATTTTCCATATTAAATTTTCACTTTTTAAAAAGGGAATAAAACATTATAGATAGTTTCTGTTAGCTTTTGCTGCATAGCTAAGCACCCCAAAATAGTAGCTTAAATAAACAACTATTTAGCTCTTAATACAGAGAGTATATGTCTAATCAAAAGCATTGGCAGGGCTGATAAAAGAATCTAATTCTTTGGACTTCTGGTGCAGGGCTTTTTCTACTGTGCTGTACATTTTTAAAGAAGGAGTTTGATGAAGTTTTTCCTAGACATTTTGTGGGGATATTTCTGGGTATTTCTAAAGAACTATAGAGTTAGTTGCACCAGTGTCTTAGGTCTCTTGTTATTTCAGAAGTTCTGCTTTCCTGTTTTCTTTAACATAATCTCATTTGACTGACTGAGCTTTTCCATTTTCTCTAATATCCCTTCTGACTGAGTGATATATCTCACCACAACACTTCTGAGTATTCTTTTCAGTGAAGGTCTTAATTTTCTATTACTGTTCTCTAAATGATTAAGTGGGTTTTCTAAGAAAATATCTGTAAAACTGGGATATATGGTCTTGATTGATTAGAACAGTGGTTTTCAAACTTAATCATGCATCAGAATCACCTAAACAGCTGGCCGAAATACAGATTTCTGAACCCCAGCCCCAGAGTTTCTGGTTCAGTAGGTCTGGGTGGGCCCAAGGATTTGCATTTCTAGTATGTTCCCAAGTGATATTGATGTTGCTGGTCTGGGGACTGTGGGAGAACCACTGAATGAGAGAAAATAAGAATCATGGCAAGTATACCATAAGATGTATAAATCATGTGCACAAGACTTCTATTACAAGAACATTCTTTGTGGTATTTTTTATAATAATAAAAATTGGAAACTGCCAAAATGTCCAAACAATATAAGACTTTAAAAATAATTTCACATAACATCAGATGAAAAAGTTTGTCTTAATGTGTGTATATGTGTCTACATATATACCTGAGTTAATATTGACTATCTCAGAATGTTAGAACGAGAAGTGAATTTTATTTTCTCCTGTGTGCTTTCCTGTTTTTGCCAATTTTTCAATGACTGTATTTTACTTTTGTGTACTAAAAAAAGTTAGTATTCAAAGTGCTGGCTCTTGGCCAGACTTCCTAAATGTGAGCCCTGTGCTCTGCCACTGAACTGTTCTGTGTCACTGGGCAAACTTCACCAATCTGCTAGTTTCCTCATCTGTGAAATGTGAATAGCAGCAGTATTTACACTATAAGGCAGTTGTGAGGATTAAATGAAAGAAGAAATTTAATAAACATTAGCTATTATTATGTTTGTAAAAAGATCCAGCAATTTCCTACTACTAGCAAAAATGCATTAATATGTTTTTTGTTCTTATGTCTAGATCTGGATGTGTGGAGGCCAACTCTTTATAAACCTCTGCTCTCGAGTCGGACATATCACTAAGAAACACACTGAAAGAAAGTCTGCAGTCATGAATGCCATAACACATAACTATCTAAGGTTGGTGCACGTTTGGCTGGATGAATATAAGGTGAGGAACACATCTCTGATTTGGACAGATGCATGAGAACACAGAGCAGTACTTGTTCTGAAGAAGCCTTCTGTGGAGTTTCCAGATCCAATTTTTGTTCTTTTCTCTGTTTTCCTTAATTTAATAGCACACCTCCAGAATCACGCATTCACCCGTCCCCAACCCTATTATCAATTAGTGAAAGCTGCTACACTTGCATCTAATTTTCAAAATTTTTAATTTCTAGGGAAACTCAAATTTCTTAGAAGTAAATCAACCAACATGAAAAGTCTTTTTTTTCCCTAGATCTATTCCCCCCACCAAAGAATTGTCCCCTAAAGCAACAGCCTCTTCCTTCCCCCATCCCCACTTGCAACTCTTTAGATTCTTTTCCTCCACTACCAACTTCCCACGTGATGTGGATGCTGCTGGTCTGGGGGTCACGTGAGAACCTCCACTTTTCTTTTCTACCTATAGCCAATTGAATTCTTTATTAAAGCTATGCCCCTCTTCTGTGCATTTCCCCAAGAGTTAAACCCCTTGCCAGGTCCTAAAAGGTTGCTCATCTATCCAGAAGCCATGTACAAACAAATGAGGACCAGGCACCACAACAAATGAATACAAATGTGTAAGAATCTCTCTGTGATAATGTGTGTTCCAGTCTTCATCTTATGTTTCTTTAATTGAAGTTTTACATTGTGAAAATAATAACACCAAATTTCTCTTACCATCAGGGAAATGTGAATTAAAACCTCAATGAGGTATTTCTACATCACCACCAATATTGGCAAAATTTTAAAAGTCTGATAGGACCAAGTACTGGCAAGCAATAGAAATTCTCAGATGCTGCTTGTGGGAGTGTTAATTATTACAAGGTCACTTTTGAAAAAGTTTGGCAGCATCTACTAAAGTAAAAGATAAGAACATCCAATGATCCAGCAATTCCATTCAGTATATATGCTACAGATATGCATGCTTTTGTGCACCAGGACACAGGAACAAGAATGTTTACAAACAGTATTGTTTGTGTTAGCCAAAACTGAATACAACCCAAATGCTCATCAAGAGTAGAATGGATAAGTGCGATATATTTTGTCGTTGTAATTCTATACAGCAATGAAAATTAAACAACAGCATTGGTAAATCTTACAGACATAGGTAAATGCATACGGCAACAGCATAGATAAATCCTAAAGACGTAATAGTGAATGCAAGCGGCCAAACACAACAGAATATATACTGTATTATTCCTTTTCTAGAAAGTTAAAAGTGGGTAAAAATAAACCATATAACTTGTGTATGCATAATTAGATATCAAAGCTAGAAAGAAAAGCAAAGGAATGAACACAAAATCAAAACTAGCGTTTCAAACAAGGGAAAGGGCTATGATCAGGAAAAGTTAGGCAGGGGCTTCTGGACCTAGTCCAGGGCTACGGGGGTTGATTTTTCAGTAATTCATTAAGTTGCACATTTATATTTTATGCACTTTGTTATATTTCCTGATTTTTTAAAAAAAATTATTTTAAAGAGGTAAAATATACTCATTAAAAAAATCATAACATTACTGGGAAATATAAAGTGAAAATCAAGCTTTCTAAGCTCATAGTTTCACCCTCAAAAGTGATCACTGAATTGCTCTTCTAATCACTTGTTAATACACACATGCACAAGAATATCTTTTCTTTTAGGTAACCAGATTTGTACTACATTTTGTTCTGATTTTTTTTCATTTGTTAGTATATTTTGAAAACATACTTTCAAATCATCTTTCAAAATCAGAACATATAAATATCTCATGCTTTTAAATAATTCCTTTGAATGAATCTTCCAAAATTGATTCCATTGATAAATGGTCCCTATCGATAATCATTCTAATCGTCTCAGCTTTTTGTTATTTCCTAACAATGCTGAAATGAACATCCTTTACACATATCTTTTTGCACATTTATGCAAATATGTCTTTGAACTAAATCTCAAGGCATGGACTTATTGGGTCATACTTTAATGCCTTTTAAATTCTGACAGATCCTATCTAAACTGTCCTTCACTGTCTATGTGTCATTCACATTGTCATCAAATGTGTATGAAAGTGCCTGTCTCCCCACTTTGGTTATAATTAAACTTTTTATTTCTTCTAATAAGTTAAAATTATATCTCATTGTTTAAAAATGAATTTAATTATGAGAGATCTTGAGCTTACTTTTATGTTTGTTTTTTTTCTGTGAACTCTGGTCATGCATCTAAACAATTGAATTGAAGACAGTATTTACTGAGTGGCTCACTGAATTTCATAAAGGATATGGTACCAAAAAGTTAGCTTAAAAGCACATAATGTGAGGTATAAAGTCAACGGATTGTCTGACACAGCACATCAGGAAATTTCATGAGTGACGGGGCAAGAGAGGGCTTTGGACTGGGAGATGCTGCCTAAGGTCATCCATGTCTTCACTTCTTCCAAAATGATAACTTCCTCCCCTGCCTTCAGGCCCATCCCTGTGCCAATCCACCCTGTGGAACTAGAGGTGGCAGAACTCGATGGCAAACATTTACAGTGGTCCAGGGTCCCCAGGGATGCATGGCATGCCCACAATTCGCTTATTTGGATGAGCAAGTGTCCTCTCTCACTTAACACTATTACTATCCTATATGCCAGCCACTGTGGACACTCAGATGAACACACAAGGGTCCTGCTTTCAAAGAGGATTCAGTCTACTCTGAATACCTTTTTAACATGGGGCCTATGGAGTCCATTAGACATTCATCTTTGGTGCTTCCTTAAGTCACAGCACATAAGAAACAAACCAGATGTGGTGACAGTAATGACCAGAACGGACATGACACTTACTCTCCCAGGGGCTTTGCACATATTAAGGTGTTCAGTCCTCACCACAACCTCATGAGGGGAGGAGCCTGTACTCACCCGAGGTGGCAAGGGTAAGTAATGGCAGAGGCAGAATTGGAACCCAGAGCTGATTCACCACCACCCCCCAGTGCTGGAAAGATGAAAGTACTGATTGGGACTAGGGGGTGAGGGGTTTTGTCCTTGAGTACTGTTGAGAGAGTAGGAGAAGGAAAGGGCTACAACAGGTGGCTGTGGTTCTTTGGCTCCCAAGAAGCAGAATCCCACCTTCCTGGATCCTGCTATGTGACCTGTCACTGTCCCACAGCACACACTGCGACTATGTATATGCTGGGTGAGTCAGTCTGAGGTCCCAGGGTGTGTCTCGGCTCTCATTCCCTGTACAGAAGAAATCCAAGGTTTTTTTAGTTCAGATGATGAGAATATAAGCTTCCATGTTAGATATCATGATTTTATTACCAAAGATTTGTTTGGTTAATGAAATTACTCCTTATTTTCATTTAGGAGGAGGTTTTTCTTCGAAGACCTGGTCTGAAATTCATGACCTACGGAAACATTAGTGAGCGTGTTGCATTAAGGAAACGGTTGGGCTGCAAGTCATTTCAGTGGTATTTGGAAACTGTCTTCCCAGAGTTAGAGTTATCTATGGAAAGCCGATTAAAGGAAAAGAAATCATTTTAATTAAAAAAGGATTAAAAAGTCCCCTAGTCCTTCAACATAGTGGCATAGGAGCACAAGTTTGGAACATCATGGAATTATGTGAAGTGCAGTAAGAAATAAAACCACAGTGTTCTATAACACGAGTGTCGTGTCTTCCTCCCTTTATGACAATTCCTAATTCTTTGTGACTCCTCTGCTGCTGAGTTGCAGGAGTGACAAGACCCCGAACATTAGAAATGTAAGCTGTCACCCAGTTAAGACTCTGTCACACAACCACTTGAGGTAAAGCACACTGTTGGCAATTATTTGCCAAACTCGCTAGGTCCTGGTAGACTACAGGGACTGCTCCTCCTGGAGCCTTTGCCAACCTAATTCCTACTCCGAACAGACAATCTGACATGATTGTCTTCTCAGTAAAACATTCACAGAGAGCCGTGCTTGGTACGAACTGACTTTGGCTAAGCTGTATCAAGCCCCTCCTTGCTGCCCATGTAGAGTGTGGTCCTGACACCTTGCTTGGGTGGGTTCCTAACTTCTGATGTCCAGTCCATTTGCCTGAGTGTCTGGGTCCAGTTCTCCAGGCCAGCTTGCCCGTCTGTTCCTGTCGGCCCTTCTGTCATTGAGAGACACTCCTTCCCAGCTTCCAATTTTGCCTTTTCCATGTCTGTCCGCTCCTATGGCTTTGGCCTACAGCTGTCCTGATACTTCTTGCATCATGTGCCCTGTTGTAATCTATGTTCTAACAGATTCTTGGTAACTGTCAGGCTGGGATTGGGGAAGGAACGGTGGGATACCTTATCCGTCCTATGTGAACACACTCCCAGGTGTTGAAAGCACTGATTTGGGGTTAGAGGGATCGCTGTTGTGTTTACTCTGGTGAGGGTGGTCAGGAAGGCAAAAGAGATTTAAATCACAAAGACAATAAAGAGACAAAAAATGAGGGAAAGAACACATTGAAAGTGGCAAAAAAGAGCAGCGGAGACTTCTGATGGGATCACAAAATACAGTCCATGCTGGAGAAAAGATTCCCTAGTTTTTACAGCAGGAAACAATTTGACTCATCTGTTGTGCTCATTCAATCAACAACTGAGTGTTTACTCTGGACCAGGCATTCTTCTAGGTGCTGGGGTGCAACAGGGAATGCAGCAGGCAGACATCCCTCTCTTCGTGGAACTTGTGTTCTTTGAGATAATACAATGTCTTTTTTTTTTTTTTAAAGATGACCGGTAAGGGGATTTTAACCCTTGACTTGGTGTGGTCAGCACCACGCTGTCCCAGATGAGCCATGGGCTGGCCCTAAGATGGATTTTTTTTTTTTTCCTTTTTGTCTTTTTTCGTGTCCGGCAACGGATCGCAACCCTCAGTGTCGCGCCCGTACCGGACCGGGACCGGCAACATCAGCACCACACTCTCCCGAGTGAGCAACAGGCCGGCCCGAGATAATACAATGTATATAAAAAAAGAACCACTTTATTATGTCTTTATACCTATTTAGTGAAATACTGTATGATAATCTATTGCTAGAAAGACATGGGAAAAACTGGTGCTGATATACCACCCGCAGCCAGGGTAACTTGACTGAGCCATTGAAAGGTCTAGCAGCACAAAACAAGTGCTGCATTATGATTACATGCTTGGCCCATATATTATTTATACCCTACCTGCTTCTAGAAAGTCACTAAAACATTCATTGTAATAAACCCACGAACCTATTAAAATTAGGATCAAATACAAAATAGAAATTCTGTAGCCGAAGAGAGAATTATAGTAGTATAAATATGGAGTTATCTTCTTAAAATTTCTAGTTTTGAAACTTGCACACACCGATTGGACTCTAGAGCATGATTTCAAAGGCTTTTTTTTTTTACTTAAAAAGCTTTTTAAGTAAATAGGCCTGCCTTATGAGCAAACTTTAATTTGTTTATAAGTCACCTGGAGATATTGGGAAATGCACGTTTTAATTAAATAGGTCTGGGGAGGAGCTTAAGACTCAGCATTGCTAACAAGCTCCCAGGTGATGCTGATTTTACCTGTCGCTGGACCACCTTCTGAGTAGAAAAACCTGAGAGTTCTGGTCTTTAAACTCTTTTGCTTGAGGATATCCTAAAATAATTTTAAAAACCCATACATTTCATACCCCCTTATACATGTTTAAATTGATATTTAAAACATTTCATTACAAATTTAGGTAGTAGGAAGGATGTAATTTCTGGCATATTTACATATTAAATAAACTTGTCACATCACTTTTAAATACGAGGTGTCTTCAAAAAGTTCATGGAAGAATTCGTATTATCTTTAAATTCTATTTTTTTACAAACTTTCTTAAGTTCTATACCTAGTAGACTTTACCCCAGTTTCCTCGCCACTGCCATGGGCAGTTTCTGAGGGGTTCCCAGCAGGATGGAGCCCCAGTGGGGCTGCTTTGATGCTATATTTTATGTGAGCTCACATAAAATATAATATAAATATAAACCATTGGGGGAACTGGGTGAGGGTACATGGGTACTCTCTGTACTACCTTTGCAAGAGAACGCATACCTGGAATATCTGTTAATTCCAGTCAAGATGAATGGCTGCCCCAAGCCCGGTAGAAGGGGTCAAATATATTCAACTTTGCACCAAGCAGCAGCTCTCTTTGGCTGAAGGCTATTAGCTGCCTGTTATCACACCTAAGTCCGGCTGCCCGCTGCCAAACAGAAACAAAAGACTCAAAAGTCAAATGTTGGTGAAAAGGGAAGGCAGCTTTATTCAGGAAAGCTGGCAACCTGAAGGAGGTGGAAGATTAGACCATCTCAAAGGCTCAGATTTAGGGAGGGGTGTTTAAGTAGAAGGTGGAGGGAGTGAACCTGGGAAGATTTAGTAGGGAGTCAGCTTTTTTATGCAGTCTAGCTGGCTGTTATCTTGGAGCTGGTTATCTTGGAGCTGGCCATGCGTTTTACCTTGTGATTGCCAGTGGTCTGCTTTTTCTCGGAATCTGCAAATCTCAAAGAAGAAATGTTAGTTTTTCAAGTTACTGATTAGCTTTCAACAACCTTTTTTTCCTGCTTAGCTAGCCAGATAAGGAAGTTAGGGAATGGGAGGAAAGAGAAGAGAAAAACACCTGCATCTTAAAAAATTTCCCAAAGCCTAAGCGGGTTTTAGGTCCCAACATGGCTTCAGTCATGTCCACTCTAACACCTACACACCCACCAACTGGGCAAGTGAGTCCTCAGTCCTGAAGGGGAAANGGTTATCTTGGAGCTGGTTATCTTGGAGCTGGCCATGCGTTTTACCTTGTGATTGCCAGTGGTCTGCTTTTTCTCGGAATCTGCAAATCTCAAAGAAGAAATGTTAGTTTTTCAAGTTACTGATTAGCTTTCAACAACCTTTTTTTCCTGCTTAGCTAGCCAGATAAGGAAGTTAGGGAATGGGAGGAAAGCGAAGAGAAAAACACCTGCATCTTAAAAAATTTCCCAAAGCCTAAGCGGGTTTTAGGTCCCAACATGGCTTCAGTCATGTCCACTCTAACACCTACACACCCACCAACTGGGCAAGTGAGTCCTCAGTCCTGAAGGGGAAATCTGAGTGGCAGGCCCGGCACCCCCACCCTGACACCCTTACTAGGTGTTCCCTAGGGCCTGTTCATCGTGGTGAGCTCCATTCAGCTCCAGAAGTTCATTGCTTTGGCGGGTGCTGCCTTTTGCTTTCCTCTCTGATTTTTAGTTCATAGGGGGTGCAGAATCTCCTTCCTTTTCTGCACGTGGACAGTGCCCTATTGTGAAGCAACGAGGCCTTTTTAAAAAATGATTTTCAAAACATTCTTGACCAAGGGCCGACCCTGTGGCTCACTCGGGAGAGTGCGGAGCTGGGCGCACAGCGGCGCTGGGAGCGCTGAGGCCGCGGGTTCGGATTCTATATAGGGATGGCCGGTGCGCTCACTGGCTGAGCGTGGTGTGGGCGACACCAAGCCAAGGGTTACGATCACCTTACCAGTCCCCCCCCAAAAACACATTCTTGACCAAGTGGGATTTAAAGATGCAAGGAAAGTGAAATGTTAAGACGTTCACCAACACAATTTGGCACACTGGGCCAGAGATGGACGCCTACACCGTTCTGTCAGACTCGCCCAGTTCCCCTCCACAGGGGACGTGCACCGTGGCCTTCCGACCGCACCGCGTTTGTCTTTTTGCACAGCGTCTCGCTTTACATGTTCACCGACGCCTTTATCATAAATGACGTTGAACGTCTTTTCATATGTGTAAGGACACTTGTCTTCAGGGAGGTGTTTCTCTGACAGAAAAACCACAAAGCAGCACCTAACGGACCCACAGCTGCGCGTGGCGCTCCGCAGACGTTCCGGATGACGCGCCCGCCGGTGACGTCAGGGCGGCGGGCAGTGGCGTCATCCGCGGC